TCTCTCTGTGAGTTGGTTATCTATAAAACCGAAGGACTGAAAATTATCTTGAATTTGTTATTAGTGTTGTTTGTTTATAGTACTTATCAAAATTTTATGTGCTCATAATTTTGAGAGCTAGTTCTACAAAGCTTCTTTGAAAAACAGCATCTTCTCCCCTGACAGTTCTCATCCTTAGAGGAAACTACTTCTAATTCCAAATTATTACTTTTTAATATTAGCCTCTGTATCTTTTAAGTTACATGCTTAGTTGCTAGTTTTTCTTATTGTGGCAAAAAGTACATGAGGTTTATCATTTTAAGTACATAATTCAGTGGAGGTAAAGACATTCACATGACTGTGCATTCACCGTTGTCTTTGCTCTTCTCATCCAAAACTGAAACTCGGTACCCATTAAACAATAATTCCCCAAGATCCCCTGCACCAATCCCTAGTAACCACTGTCCTCCTATCTGTCTCCATAGAGTATTTTACATTACTGAAATTATGCAATTTCACTTTTTGTGACTAGCTTATTCCGTTCAGAACAATGTTTTACCAGTTCGTTCATATTGTAGCTTATGTCAGAATTTCCTTCCCTTTTAAGGTTGAATAATATTCTATCGTATGCAAACACCATGTTTTGTTTATACATTTGTCTGTCAGTGGGCATTTGGGTTACTTCTACCTTTCAACTATTGTGAATAAAACTACTGTGAATAATATGGGTGTACAGTTCTTTTGAGAACTCAGAATTGGAATTGTCAGGTTATACGGCAACTGTGTTTAATTTTTTGAGAAACTGTCATACTGTTTTCTATAGTGGCTGCATTAAAATTTACATTCCTATCCACAGTGCGAGAGAGTTCCCCATATTCTCATCGACACTTTTTATTTTTTTAAATGGAACACTTCATGGTTTTGTGTATGTGAACTATTGTGAGTTTATACTCAGAAGTGGAATTGTTGGATCAGAAGTGAAATTGTTGGAATAAAATGTTCAGGGAAGTGTCTTCTAATTTTCTGCTTGAAAGATCCAGTCCTGTTGCCCTTCACTTTGGAATTCATCAAGAAAAGTTACTGAAAAGGGCCTGGGGAGAGGTAGGAGATCTCAACATTTATTGAGTGTGTTCTGTTTGTATTTCTGGGTTCACAATACCCCCATTTCTGTGCTGAATTTCCCTAAGTCCAGAAACTCTGTCTTTCTATTCCCAGAAAATAGGACTCCAGTATTTGGATGGGTAGAGAAAGGCATTTGGTTTGCTGCACAGAGTGGGAGAGAGTGATGTTAAGATCTAAATCCTTCTTAAACAAATGTTACCCAATCTGCTGAAAGACCTGGTTTGTAATCAAGTAGTCTGTAATCCCAGTGACTAGGGATGCTGAGGCAGGAAGATGTGAGTTGGAGGCCAGCCTGGGCAACTTAGTGAGACCCTGTCTAAAATTAGAAGAAAGTGAATGGATGAATAAAACATTACCCGTTTCTTCAATAGCCCTAGTTTTGTCCCTACTTTCAAGGATAACTGAAGTTGCTTTCTCTTAATCTTGGGGATTTAGTAGTGGTACTAGGCTGCTTCTGAGCTTTCCCTGTACTGGTTTAAGATTGAGGTTTAAATCAGTTATCTGGTCAAAGACTACAAAATTTCAGTTTTTGTGACCTATTCACAGCATGGCGACAGTAGATAATTTTAATGTATATTTCCAAATAGCTAAGAGATATGATTTTAAACATCTTACCCAAGGAAATGATAAATATTTGAGGTGATGAATATGTTAATTAACCTGATTTGATCATTCCACAACATATCCATGCACAAAAACATCACACCATACCCATATATAAAGTTATTTGTTAATTAAAAATAGCAAACAAAAAATCATGTAAGTCAATTTCCTCTCATTTACCATTTTCCAACTTACATAATTTCGTTGCAAAGCAAAATGTACTCTTTCATTCTTTTTATCTTGTGTGTTTTACAACAATCTTTTTTACTTTCATTTTTGTGAAATTTGAAGGTAATGAAAGTAAATATGTGCTCAGTCTTCTCCTTTTACCCAGAATACTATGTTTTCTGGTTTTGAGTCTCAGTCTAAAATGTGGATGTAGAATTGTGAGGATAAAAACAAAAACCAAAAACACACCTAATCTCAATCATGCCAGGCTGTGTTGTACAAGATAACAAGATAGGGCTGGGGCTGGGGCTCAGTGGTAGTGCACTTGCCTGGCATGTGTGAGGCACTGGGTTCAATTCTCATCACCATGTAAAATAAATAAAGGACTATCAACAACTAAAAAAAAATTAAGAAAAAAAAGATAACAAGATATAGATTTTTCCTGACTTTTACTAGGGCCTGTTTTATACTAGCTATTCATTTGCTTAGTTACATAGCTATCATATTGGACAGGGTCAGAAAGTAGGGTGAAATTCCTAACAACTTTTTCTATAGCTTATCTTTTCTGGTAAAAGGGATGCCGAAAAGAAAATGTTAAGAGTCTTGGCTAAAAATGAGGGTTTGCTGTTTTAAATTATTTATTATCTCTTAGCCTCCAGCTAGTTTCAAATTTTTAATGTTTTAAAATCACATTTCTTTCAGCAAACAATAAGTGAAAGAATATATCTTTTCAAGATGGTATTTTCATTCAAAATACTTTCATATTTATCCTTGGATTATACTAATTACATGAAGCAGGTTCAGATATAAAAAAAATGAGGCATCAAAGAGACCTAATAACCTTTTTAAGAATTAGAAAGTTATTAAGTTATTAAGGATCTTTCTGGGGTTGGGATAATCTTGGTTTTCTTCAACTATCTCTACTTAGAGTCATAAGAACTGTCTACTCTCCTGAGAAGAGACCAATCAGGACGGAGATTTGAGGCAGAATTGTTACCATTTATAACAAGCTCCTCAGCATCTACCAAGTACCTGACTGTATGCAAAATATTTAAAATTTTGTTATGATTTTCTTTCTTTACAGAATCAAACTGAGATGCAGAGGGGTTAAGAAACTCGCTGAAGTGTGCACAGCTAGTAAGTGCGGGTCACCAGGTTTGGCACCCAAATTTTTCTTACTTGAAAGCTCAGGTTCTTTTCATATTCAGCTTCCTTTTGGGCCCAGGTCATCTAAAATAAAGGGAAATAAGTAATTACTGTATTATGTGCTAGGGGGTACCAAAGGGTTACAGTGCCGCATTATCAAACTGTGGGGAGTCTAAGATGCACAGCAGGTTGAGTGATCAAAGAGACATTCCTGTGCCTTGGGGAAATTGGAGTAATTTCCCAAAGAGTGCCATTGGGAAGGAGGGATGGTGGGTGGTGGAGAGATAAGGAGAGTAAGAAGAGATAAGACTAGAAAAGCAAGTGGAGGGGGTAGGGGGTAAAGCATAAAAGAATCTTTGAAATCTACCTTCCTCTTTTTTTAGTTTATTTTAACAAAATTTTTGTGGTTCTGGGGATTGAACCCAGGGCCTGGTACAGGCCAGTCAAGGGCTCTACCACTGAGCCAAACCCTCTGCCCCAAAGCCTTTAGAATTCAATGAAGAAATTAGGATTATCCTCAAACTAATGGGGAACCTTTTAAAGGTTTCTTGCAAGGGAGTGGTATGTGTACAGGTTTGCATTTTATACATGTCATTCTTGCAGTTGCAGAGAGATGGAGGGCAGAGGGGGAGGAGTCAAGAGTAATTCTCAGATCTCTGTCTTGGACAAGTGGACAGGTGGTTCCATTCACTCAACCAGGGAACCACCTCAGAAAACAAGTCTTTCACCAAATCTTGTGGGGTGGGGAACTGATTGATTAGAGCTGATTTTGCACAAGAAAAATCAGTGTATGTTTAGAAGTGGAAAGGTCTTATATTCATGATTACTATTAGAATTCCTTAAGTCTTAAGACAGGTGGGCATCCTTGTATTCTTCCCCAGTTAAAAATCATGATTGTTTAAAAAATAAAGTTGATTTATACAAGCAATAGTGGCTTTCATAGATTGACTGTCTTAGATGAATTTCCTTACAAAACCAAGTGAATTTCCATATACTCTTAGTGTGACTCCATTCTGAGGCCTTTCTAATGAAATGAAAGGTGAAAATTGTAGAAGACATCAAATTCCTTGATGATCAATTCATTACAGTGGCTGTTTTTTTGGTGACAACGTACATTCTTATAAAGGGCTAAAATATTTAACTTCATTTCCCAGGAAACTTAAGGCTAACGAGGTGATTTTGTTAATGTTAAGCTATCTGTGAAAACAGCCGTGACTTATGACTCTATCTAATAAAGGAATTTCTAGGGTCCTTTGCGCTATTAGTGTCCACAGCGTGGTTTATAAAAGTAGAGACCTTGGCTTTCACGGCACAGTTCCCTAAAATTATGCTTATGGCTTCTGAATGCTTCAGTCCCCTCATTTTTCTCCCTAAGGGTCCAGATGCAGGTTACACTCTTTCTTGGTAAAGAGTGGGGACGGGGGTCCTCTGTCTTGCCTCCCACCTTTCCCGGTGAATGACTTCAAGCAGTTTGCAGACCAAGGGCGTTTCCTGGATCCAGACCAAGAGGGAACTTAGGGTGAAGCCTCAGGACTTTGTATTTAGAAAAAAGCATCTTTTGCCTAACAGCACTTCTCAAACTTGTCTCCGAAGGACCTCTCTGATGCCTACCCGATGATTTGTCTCGCCCAGCTACATTTATTTTAAAATCAGGCATTATTTTAAAAACGAATGCAAATGCTCTATTCTACCTCTTCAGCTTATCCTTTTTAGTTTCACATAAATAAATAAATAAATAAATCAATTAATTAAAGTTCAAATTCCCCACTTCCACGAACGCATTGACTGTTTCTGCTCCAACTCCACGGCTCTCGCCCCGCGTCCCGTTGCCCCAGACCTGGTTCACTACCTGGGTGCCCACTTGGAGGAGCCAGGGGATCTTTGAGTCAAAGGAGTGTCCTTTGAGTCAGAGGAGTGTCCTCCCCAGACTCCGCCCTCCGGCCACCTCCCAGGAGGGCGCCCAGCTCTGGGCGTCTCTGGGGACCAAGAGTCAGAAGTGCACAGATGGCTATGGCTTTCACCCCGGGGGGCTCTTTGGGGACGCTTGGTTCTGGGGCTAGGGAAAGGCTGCGACGGGCCGCGGGGATCCTGGCGCACGTCTGCGGACTAGCCCTGTATATGAAAAGGTAACTGTCGCCCAGGTGCTGGCCTGCCGCGGCCAGGGCCGCCCCTTCCCTCCTGCCCTGATTCCGAGGCAGCCTCCACTGGGCTCCTTGGGCAGAACAGAAGGCAGCCGGCCAAAGCAGCCCCGTCGGCCCCTCCGTTAATTTGCTGGTAATCCCTAAGGGGAAAATCTTTGCCTTTCTTCTCTGGGGAACCGTGTTTAGTCGCCAGTGACCCATCTCACCTTCTCTAAGTGAATCAGAGGTGTTAATTTGGCCCCCAAACAAAGAGACCTGAGGATGTCCCAGGTTTATCACATTTGCCTCTGGAGCGTGCAAGAGTCAGGAAACTGGCCCCCTGGGACTTGGATTGTAAGTGTTGCTCCAAGTGTAGGGAGTAACCCTGGGAATGTTTGCTGACCCAGGAGAGCTCTGGGTTAGTGGTGGGAGTCGGACAGACAGCATGGGTGGCAGAGGGTTTTATTTTTGTTTGATGTTTGTTTTTCCTGACATGAACTGGATGAAGAATTTACCTATAGAGGTCTTCATGGAAATGAAAAAAAGCTGACTTTGAGACAGCATCTGCTATAGTTTGGATCCAAGCCAAGCCCAATTCACAGTATTTTCCTAGCTCCCTTTAAATTTTCACTTTATGGCTCCTTTCTGGAGGATTCTTAGGGCACAACATTCACTCTGATAACTTCATAATCCAGCCCTTGACCTTACTGGTTTAGATAGTTGTTGTCCAATACAAATACAATGTAAATCACAAATGTGAATTACATTTGTAATTTTGAATTTTCTTGTATTCACATTAAAAAGGGGAAGAGGTTCTGGTGCCGTAGTTTTTGCTTATAATCTCAGCTACTTGGGAGGTGGAGACAGGAGAATGCAGCAAAGTTGGAGGCCAACTTGGGCAACTTAGCAAAACCTTGCCTCAAAATAAAAAATAAAGGGTTGTAACTCAATGGTAGACCACCACTTGGTTCAATCCCTAGTGCTACAAAAACCAACAAAAGGATAACAACGAAAATCTCTAACAAGCAAAAACCCCAAACAGGTGTGTATAAGTGGGGTGGTGGAGAGAAACAAGTGGGATAACACATGATAATTCAATACATGTATACAGCGTGTAACAATCAAATTAGGGTAGTTAACTTTTCTATCTCCTGAAACTTTTTTTTATAGAATGGGAAAAAATTTTTGCAAATTATTCATCTGATAAAGGATTAATAGGCAAAATATATAAGGCACTTTGTAACAAAAACAAATAATCCAATTAAAAACAGGCAAAGGATATGAACAGACACTTGTCAAGAAATTTCAATGACCAGCAAATTTATGAAAAAATGCTCAACTTCACTACATCATAGAAATGTAAATCAAAACCATAATCACATATCCTTTTGTTCCAGTTAGAATGGCTATTAACACAGAGACAAAAAAAAAAAAAAAAAAAAGCCAACTCTGGCAAGGATGTGGCAAAAAGAGAACTCTCACACATCACTATACATCACTGGCAGGAATGTAAATTAGTGCAACCACCGTGGAGACCAGTATGGAAGTTCCTCAAGAAACTAAAAATAGATCTACATAGATCTACATATATCCTGCTTCTGGGTATTATAACCAAAGGAAGTGATTATCAGCATATCAGAGAGACACCCCCACACTCATGTTTATTGCTGCATTACTCACAATAGCTAAGGTATTAGCTATCTATCAACAAAAGAATGGACAAAAAATGTGGAGTATAGATACATATATGTGTAAATACATGTATATGTATAAACATATAAAAGAATGATATCCTATCACTTGCTGTAAAATGGATGGAACTGGACTACATGTTAAGTGAAATAAGCCAGATTCAGAAAGACAACATCTGCCTGGTCCATTTCACATGGGATAGAAAATAAAAAAAAATGTTTGTCAGAATGTATAGATAGTGATTGCTAGGGGCTGGGAATGGTGGAGGGGAGAGGGGTTAGTGGGAGGTTAGATAATGGGTATCCAAACACAGATAGATAAGTTCTAGCATTCTACAGAATAGTGGAGAAACTACAGTCACAATAACTTATTATATATTTTATGAATAACTAGAAGAGAGGAGGAACTTGAAGGCATCACTCTCCTGACGAGATTAATGCAGTCTGGACTGTGGAATGGGTCAGGTTTCAATGGGACTGTGTTAGTGCCCATGAAAAAATGGTTTCTTATGAGTGGATCCAGCAATTCCCCCAAGTCCCTCTTCCACATGCTCACCACTCACATGCGTTCTTACCAGTGTGATGCCATCTGCCATGAGGTGCTCAGCAGAACTGAGAAGATGCTAATGCCATGATCTTGAACCCCCAGAACTGTGAGCTAAACAAACTCTTTTCTTTATAAACTACTTGGTCTCTGATATTTTGTTGTAGTACCAGAAAATGGACTAAGGGAACCACCTTGATATTAAGTTGTCAATTTCACCTTATTTTTTGAATATATGCCATAGAATTTCACTTCACATCCTGACTTATACATTAATCTGTATATGTTCTACTCTAGTTGACATATTTCCATATTAGCTTGTTATTGTGCATATTTTCTCCATCAAGTAGGGACCTATTTTTTTCTACATAATTTTCCTTTTTATTTTCTGCAGATATGTTGAGAAGAGTCGAGCAGAAGAGTGGGCACTATTTTACTTGAATATGAAGAATCATTCAACTAATGAACCATTTTTGTTTACCATGAGTGATTTTTCTAAATATAATTTGGTTAGTATTTTTTGTTTGCATCCTAATTAATAACCATAGTTTTTAGAATAGCAAAATCTTAATTCATTTTAAAATTATTATTTTTTGATTATAAATGTGATGAATAATTATAAGATATCACCTATGGTAAAGGTTAAAGGATAACAATGTTCATTGTTTCCAAGACATGGAGAAATGAACACTTTCCTCCTCTTGTGGGCATGTAAATTCTTACAGGGATCTGGAGGTCAATTTGACAATACATAATATTGTCCAGAATGTGCACGCCACATTCCTTGGCTTAAGGATCATGTGTTGTCTCACCTCTGTTGTATTTTTCTTGGCAATTTTAGAAATTCACCTCATGAGTATGATTAGATAAGTGCACACATTTGTATATTCAAAAATGTTCTTTCAATTGTTTATAACTTTTTAAAAAGAAAGCAATGTACATTTCAACTGTTTTTATTTTGATATGTAAAAGTATTATATTATCTTTACTATAACATTTTATAGTTATTTTTAAAAATTTGAAGTAAAATAAAAGTAATTCAGGTTTCATGAAAGAAATTTGGAATTTATAGAAAAGTCATAAAGAAGAAAATGAAAAAGATTAAAGAATTTCATCCCAAGAGGACAGACGATCAATCTTAACATTTTGGATATATGATTCCTTTCTTTCTGTGGATATGAATGTATTCAAAATTTTTATGGTGATATATGTTTGGTAGAACAGTTTGAAATTTTAGCATATTCAATACTAAACATAATTTGAGATTACTATTCATATCATTCTATCAAATTAAAACTTAATTCTGGAAATTAGTTTATTATGTTTAATAATGATTAAAAGTTTATTAAAATTAGAAAATTAGCTTATTCTATCAAGTTAAAAGTCAATTCAAAAAATTCATTGATTATGCTTCCTTTTTTAATACTGTGTATATATAGTTAGTAAGTATATGGATATCAAATACAAACAATTCATTCTCATTTTATTTGGTACAATTCAATTATTATTATTAGTCATATCAATAACAGTTTTCTTCTGGTTGCAGGCACTTATTAAGAGTAGATTATGTAGGGTTTGTCAGGGTAAAAGTTTGTTTTTCATGGCCCTGTGTGAATAACATTTACTAGATCCATTAAAACAGTCCCAGCTTGGCACAAGTGTTAATTTGCTTGTATGGTATAGTTTCCAATGTAGGCAGGTATCAGAGTGAAGCAAAGTTCCTTAAGGATCTCTGTTGTATTTCTTGAGTATATGAGACCACATTCATATAACTTTTATTACAGCATATTGTTATATTATTTTATTATTAGTTATCATTAATCCCTTACTATGCATACTTTAAAATTAAATGTTATCATAGATGTGTAGGTATAGAAAAATAGTATATTTGGGGTTTGGTACTGTTGGTCTTTTCAGACATTCACAGGGGGTGGTTGAGCATATCTTTCACAGATAAGGAGGGGACTGTAAATACTGTTGACCCTCTTTTAATGGTACTCAAAGTCTTCTGGTGAGCCTGAGATTAATTTAAATCCACACAGCGACTCATGATCATAACTCACAAAATAGCATTTTATTGTGCAAACATCCTCAGCTTATTATAAAGGTTTTGTTGTCTTAGTTATAATCAAACATGTCTACACTTAACAGTCAATAAATTCCATTACTTGCTACTTCAACTGCTTTAAGTAAATCTTTTTCTTCAAGATATTTCAACAAAGTTTATGTGCAGAGTTTAAAGTCAATATTACATAAACATACCACTTCATGTTCCCCAGACTATAAATCCTTCACAAGTTTTTAGAAGAAATTGTGTCCATGGGAACAAGTAGCATACATTCAATGTAAATACACTTTATTTTACAGAGCAAAAAATTTGAAAAGCTGAAGACATTGTTGTTCACTCAGCCTAAGCAAAGGAGCCAAGAAAATCTCAGAGAGGTAAAATAATAATAATAATAATAATAATAATAAATTTTCCCTATACATGTTAATCAATTATGCATTTCTTCTATCAGCATAGCCCCCGTCCAGCTCGGGCTACTGAACCAAGGTCACTTGGGTGAATTTGGGGTGACAGGAAATGACCACGCAGACATGGAAAATACCTTTTTATGGGCGTCTAGACGGCTTCCCGCCTCCAGTCAGAGGCTCCCACAAGAGGGGCAAGAGAAAAACACTGCAGGCAGGCGACAGAGAGGGGGAGCACATCCTGAGGCTTGACCTTTATTATTGGGGGGAGCGAATCCATAGAACATTCTATCCAAAAAGGGCAAAGGGTAGGGTTACAACAAACAGGTGGGTGTAACTCAGCCCCATCAAGTGACACCCACTCCCAGAGCTGTGCCTTTCTTACCTGAGCAGAGGCAAGACCACGTGCATTACAGTGGGTCGATTCCAGTCCAGTACCTTCTGGCTCAGGACTTAAAGATGTGTGCATAACTCCTGTTCAGGGCGGCCCCTGACCTATCAGTTTCAACAAATAACACGTTAACACTATAAAAAATCATGCCAAATAATTTTACTTAGATTTCTACCATCCTAATCCTTGCCTAACTTTTAGAAGTTTAGAAATCAAATTGAGATTAAATAAAGGTGGTTGAGATATTAATATTTTCTTTTGGTCTAGTGAAGCAATTATTTTCTTTCATTACTTTTATACAGTGATTAAAGAAATTTTAGTCCACAAGTTTCTACTTTGTGTTCTATTTATTTGAGGTATGTATTTGACATAAATAATTGTGAATATAAATCAATTTCTTTAAAGCCTATTAAAATGTTTTCCATAGCTTTAACTTACTAATCTTTGAATGAACTTCAGTGATCCATTATGTGGATGTGAATTTTTGTCCCTAAGAAATTAGGTGAACCTAATTCTCTATTAAAATTTTAGTATGCTTAGGCAAATCAGAATTGTGTTTGTTGTTTTTTAGCCTCTAAAGAATGTCATGTTTTATGAACTAGCTATAAAGTAAAAAGCTGTATTGATTTTTAAACATTTTAAGATATAAAACATTTCAGAGTATCCTAAAGAATAAAGTGCAATATTAAAGTATTAATCATTATTTTTGGCATCAGACATTTCTAAAAGTGGGATTTTTTTTTGTGCATCTGACATTTCCTTGAATATACCTACACTATTTTTTACCAGGGGGAATCCAACATTAGTAAATAGCATAGCCATGGAATTCTTGTTGCTAGGAGCTGAACTTTTTATCTGAGTACAGAAAGCTCTGAACTTAAAACCTGGAGAGAGTAATATAAGTAAACATGATTGAAATTAATTTTTCTCATATAATCATTTTAAATATTTTTCCTGAAAGTGTATAAACAGACATGAGGTTTACTCTATGAATAACATGCATACTATGAACTATATATCTTCTTTTTTAAAAATTTTATATCTTCTCTTTAGTTATACCTGACAGTTGAGTATATTTTGACATATTCATACAAACACGAAGTATGTCTTATTTAGGATCTCAGTCTTGTGGATGTACATGATGTGGAGATTCACTGTGATGCATTCATACGTGTACATAGGAAAGTCACGTTAGATCCATTCTCTGCCCCCTCTTGTGTGTAGCATCCACATATCAGAAAGAATATTCAACCTTTGGTTTGGGGGGACTAACTTATTTCACTTAGTATGATAGTCTCCAGATTCATCCATTTACTGGCCAATGTCATAAAGTTTTTCTTTTTTATGGCTGAGTAATATTTCATTGTGGGTATGTATACCACATTTTCTTTATCAATTAATCATTGAAGGGCACCTATGTTGGTTCTATAGCTTAGCTATTATGAATTGAGCTGCTATAAACATTGCTGGTGGGACTGAAAATTGGTGCAACCATTCTGGAAAGCAGTATGCAGATACCTCAAAAAGCAAGGAATGAAACCACATTATTCCTGGTTATACCACTCCTAGGTATAATCCAAGGGAGTTAAAATCAGTGACACAGCCACATCAATGTTTATAGCAGCTCAATTCACATCTTTTTTGAGTAAGCACAAATCAGTCAAGATGTGTTAAATTATCAAGCAGTTGTGATTCACAGTAGAGATTACCAAAGAACGCTTTCCAGGATAGGAAGAAGTGCCAGGGGTGAAGATACTGACGATGAGGTGGAGGTGACAGCTTTCAGAGCCAAGAGTAGAGGGCGGGCGTCTTACAGTAGCACACTGGCTCCTAATCATTGCAGCTTCATGACCCTGTGTTTGGTGGTTTGAAAGGCGTTTATTCCCCTACAAAGTCATTCATTAATAGTTTATCTCCCCACTAAAAAAAATAAAAAAAAATCACCTCTTACCATCAGTTAGCACTTTTGATCAGCAATATGACTGATATTCTCATGCTGAGTCGATTCATGATTCTAGCTGAAGCAAATAAAATTGACATATTATTCTGACTTTACCATAGGTACATGAATAATCTCATTTAACTTTGCAATAACCCCCAAATTATTGCCATGGTCAATATCCAGGCGCTCTCCCCCTATATTCTCTCCTAGGAATTTTATAATTTCTGATCTTATATTTATGTCTTTTATTCATTTTGAGTTGACATTTGTGCATGATGTAAGAAAAGGGACCAATTTCATTGTTTTGCAGATGGAAATCTAGTTTTCCTAGCAACATTTATTGAAGATTGTCTTTCCCCCATTGCGTCTTATTGGTGCCCATAGTTAACCACATATGTTTGTATTTATTTCTGGGCTCCCTATTCTATTCCTCTGGTCTATGTGTCTGTTTTTATGCTAGAACTATACTGTTTTATTACTACCATTTTGTAATGTAATTCTAAATCAGAAAGTATAATCCTCCAATTTTGTTTTTTCTTCTCAGTATTTCATGGTTCCATATGAATTTTCGATTTTTAAAAATTCATATGAAGAATGTCACTAGGATTTCAATAAGGATTACATTGAGTCTACAGATTAATTTGGAAAATATGGACATTTAAAAATATTAATTCTTATGATTCATGAGTGTGATATATATATATATATATATATATATATATATATATATATATTTCCACTTGTTTGTGTCTTCTTCAACTTCTTTCACCAATATTTTTGAGTTTTTAGAGTACAGACTGTTCATATCTTTGGTTAGATTTATTTCTAGTTTTTTGATTTGAAGCTATCATAAATGGAATTGTTCTCTTAATTTTTTTCAGTTAGATTGTTATTTGTGTATAAGGATGCTACTGATTTTTATGTTGATTTTGTGTCCTGAAATTTTATTGAATTTGTTTATTAATTTTAATAGTCTTGATGGTGAAATATTTGGGAGTTTTACATACAGAATAATGTTATTTGCAAATGATTTTCCTTCTTCCTTTCTGATTTCAAGTCTTTTATTTCTTTTTCTTGTCTTATTGCTCTAGCTAGTATTACTGTGTTGAATGGAAGTGGTGAGAGTAGGTAAGCATGCTTACCTTATACTAGAATTTAGTGGAAAAACTTTCATTATTTCCCTGTTGATTATAGTGTTACTTGTGGGTTTTTCATAAATATCTCTTATGTTGGGGAACTTCCTTCTGTATGTAAGGAAGTTTTTGAGAGTTTTTATTAAGAAAGCATGTTGGACTTTATGATATGTTTTCCATGTCAATTGCTATGTTTGTATGGTTTTTATCTTTCATTATGTTAATGTGTATCACACTGATTGATTTGGGTATGTTAAACCATTCTCGTATGTAAAGGATAAAACTAAGTTTGTCATCATATATAATCTTTTTTATGTGTTGTTGGATTTAGCTTGCTAATATTTCATTTAGAATTTTTGCCTCAATGTTTGTTGGAGCAATTGGCTGGTAGTTTTCTTTTCCTTCCTTTTTTTTTTTGGGGGGGGGCTTGTTTGTTTGATGTCTTTGTCTGGCTTAGTTATTAGAATGATACTGGCCTCATAAAATATACTTGGAACTATTCTCTCCAGCTGCAATGTTTAAAAAGTATTGGCATTAATTTTTCTTTGAATGTTTGCTCAAGTTTACTGGTGAAGCCATCTGGTCCTGGGACTGTCTTTGTAGGGAGATTTTTAATTTATTATTCGATCTCCTTTTTTTGTTGTTTTTTTGTCTGCTCATACATTCTATTTTTTCCTGAATCAATCAGTTAGATTGTATTTTTCTAGAATTTCATTTCATTTCCTTATATCTAATTTGTTGACAAATAATTATTCATAATAGTTTCTTACAATCCTTTTTAGTTGTGAGGCATCTATAATTTCTTCGCTTTCATTTTCAATTTTATATAAGTATTCTTTTTCACTTTTTTCCTGAGAAAATCTGTAATTTCTCCACTTTTATTTTTTATTTATTTGAGTCTTCTCTATTTTTTTCTTATGATAGACTAGCTAAGTGTTCGGCAATTTGTTAATTTTTGAAAAGACCAACTCTTGTTTTTATTGATTCTTTCCATGGTTTTTCTATTCTCTATTTATGTTCTGATTTTTGTTACTTCCTTCTGATTTGGTGTTTAATTTGTAATCCTTCTCCTAGTTCCTTGAGGCATAAAGCTAGTTTATTTATTTAGGATTTTTCTTTTTAAATATTGACCATTATTGTTATAAACTTCCCTCTTAGAACTGCTTTTGCTGTATTCCATATTTTTTTTATTTTGTATTGTCATTGTCACTTGTTTCAATATATTTTTTCATTTCCCTTTTGATGTCTTCCTTGACCATGTTGTTTTACAGGAGCATGTTGTTTAATTTCCATGTATTTTCTAAGATTTCTCCTGTTGTTGATTTCTAATTTCATAGCATTGTGGTTTGAGCCAATGCTAGACATTATTTTGATCTTCTTAAATTTGTTTTTTTAGCTCAATATATGATCTATCCTGGAGAATGTTCCATATGCACTGGGAAAATGTGCAGTGTTTTCCTGTTGGACATATACAGATTTCTGTATATGTCTGTTGGGGCTATGTGGTTAAAAGTGCTATTCAAGTCTAGGATTTCTTTATTTATTTTCTATTTAGTTGATCTACCCATTGTTGAAAGTGGGGTATTGGAATTCCTTACTATTGTTGTGTTGCTATCTATTTCTCCTTTCATGTCCATTGATGATTACTTTATATAGTCACACACTCCAATATTAGCAACATATATATTTATAATTATCATGTTGTCTTGATGAATTGATTCCTTGAAGTCTATTTTATCAGAGATAAGCATAGTTTCTTCCCTGCTTTGGTTACAATTTGCATGGAATAGCTTCTATCTTTTCACTGTTAGCCTATGAATATCCTTAAAGATTATCTGGATCTGTGGTAGATAGCATAGCATACAACATCCCCCCCCCAAAAATCTATTCAGATATTCTGTGTCTTTTAATTGAAGAATTAAAACCATTTACATTCAGGATATTATTGATAGATAAGGAGTCACTAACTTCCCTTTTCCAATTTGGTTTGTGGCTTTTTGTAGCTCCTTTGTTCCTTTCTTCTTCTCTTGTCCCGCTTTGTGACAAACTGTGGAACAAGGTTTCTGTGCTCGAGACCTTAGGAAACTACTGCAGCATCTGGGACTTGAAGCACAGGGTCATTCTCCAAGGCATGCATGGATGTCATCTCCCACTAAGCTGGGATCTCCTGCTCTCAGGCATACCCCAGCAGCTCAGGTCCAAGGGACTGGGTATAACTGGGGTTCTGACCCTGGGGACAAGGTACCATCTTGGTTCTGGGAAACCATGGTGCTCCAGAGGTTTGGTTCCCCAGGACCAAGGCACAGCTGCAAAATTGGGACCCAGAAACACCAGGGAATAGTGGCACCTGGGGGTCTAGGGAATAAACTACCATATAGTAACGATTCTGGGATGATGGGACACAGCAGTGGTTCATGCTCTGTGAGGTGAAGTGCAGCAGCCTTAAGAACCCAAGAGTGGGTTGGGGATGCTGTGACTTGGGTCCTAGGTGGCATGGAGCAGTTCGGCAATGACTCCATTGCCTGGAGAAGTAGCTCAGACTGTGGAGAGCTAGTCCAGTTCCAGGTTGGCAAGCTGTCTTGGAGGTCAGGGTGACCAAACTTGGCCAAGGCTTAGATTTCTTGAGTTGGGAGGTGTCATATCTGCTCAGCCTCAGAAATCACAGCTATTTGGATCCCTTAAGGGAGATGGTGCTGCATCTGCTGTGGTGCTAAGAGGTGCAATTGCTCCTGTGTTCTAGAGGCTTGGAGCCCCCAGAGGTGGCCATAGCCTTATTTGTAGTGGGTGGGAGACTGTTTTTAAGTGCAGGAGGCCTGAGATCCCCAAGGGGTAGGGCGCTGTATCAGCTACGATGCTAGGGGTAGGGTGTGACTATTCCAACGTGCAGGAGGCCTGGGGTCCTGGGGGATGAAGTACTGCCTTGGCTGTGGTGCTGGGGTGTGACAACTCCAGTAGCTCAAAACTCGGGGTTCCCAGTAGCAGGGTACCACTTCAGCTTGGCCCTAGGGGGATGGTGCACTAGGACAGTGCTGGGACTGGGATAGGTGGAGAACAAAAGCTATATGGCAGCGTGGCCCTAAAGCATAATAATTAGCAGCTTTGCTTGGGGATGACATGCTACTGGGTGGGTATGGTGCAGTGGTGGTTGAGCCTCAGGGATGGGGGAATGCAATGGCTACTCTCCACTAGAACAGGGCGCACTCTACAAGTGGCTCTGGTTCTAAGATGGTAAAGAACAATAGCAGCACAGGAAGAGGACAGCATCTGCTCCCCTGTGAAGTAGCTCAGTGCTTAGAGTCCAGCAAGGCTCAGAGCCTCTGAGGCTCCCGGAGTTTCCATTAGTAAAGATGGTAGGTGTTGATGATGGCATGGACTTCTAGGGTCCTCTCGCTTACTGTTTCCCTGCAGGGAGAAGGTCCTCCTGGTTCTGAGCTGATCCCAAATGGGTGGATGCGGTGTTGGAGGCAATGTATTTCCTTCCTTTCTCAGTGGGTTTCTGTTTCCTTTTTGCTCCTCTCTAGTGCTCTTCTTTAGTTAATTTGGATGAAATGTAGTTGAAAAGTGCTAGGAACTTCTAGCTGACCATCTTGCTGACACCAGCCCCTGGAGCTAATCTTTGTATAAGGTAGGAGTTAGGGGTTCTGAGCTACTTTTTTTAGACTTTAAAAAATGCAAACATTTTAAAGATTTAGTAGCCATGTCACGTACATTCTCAAAAATAGTAGGCAGATCAATATTAATGCATATCAAACTTAGTACTTTGGAAGAAGGGAAATAAGGCATATCTGAACTTCTCACTTCCAGTAGCCTTTAAAGAAAGACCATCTTCACAGAGGTAAGTGAAGTTCTGACATTGTAGAAGTTCATGCGTAAATGCAGGTGAGGACCATCATCTTCTTGCTGTGTCTCATGTCTTCTTTCCTTCCACAGGGGAAGTTTTGCCTTATTAGGATCATACCAAGCTGGGCATGGTGGCATGCTTCTGTGGTCCAAGCACTTGAGAAACTGAGGTGGTACGATCACTTGAGTCCAAGAGTTTGAGACCAGCAAGGGGAAAACAGTGAGATCCTGGTCTCAAAAAAAAAAAAAAAATCATAACAAAGTCTTATTACTCTGTTCATAGAATATTTTATATCCCAGTATCCACTATGTAAAACTTGGCTAGCCTTTGGAGAACACATAAAACCTATTCTTGTTTTGATTATCAGAAATATTGAAGGATCCAAGCTAATAGCAGAACATCAGCATAATAACTTCCCTTTAGACCTTTTCTAAGCTATTATTTATTTATTTTATTTCTTTCTTTCTTCTTCTTCTTCTTCTTCTTCTTCTTTTTTTAAGATTCAACAATGTCTAAAGATGAACAGGTCATTTTGCAGTCTGCCAAATGAAGTTCAGCTCCAACTTTGCCAGACCGCAATATATCAAGAGTAAGTGACACAGCCTGGCATGGTAGCACAGGTCTATAATCCCAGCGGCTCTTGAGAGGCTGAGGCAGGAGGACTGTAAGTTCAAAGCCAGCCTCAGTAACTTAGTGGGGCTGTAAGCATCTTGGAGAGACCCATCTGTAAATAAAATACAAAAAAGGGCTGGGGAATGTGACTCAGTGGTTAAGAGTCCCTTGGTAAAATCACCAGTGTATATAAAAAAAAGTAAGTGACACAGAAATATTCCATTCAAGTCTTTGCAGTCCCTAAGAAAGGCAGTGCCAGATGGTGAGTAGAGTTTAGCAAAACTTCAGAAACAAAAGGCATGTTACAAAACGAATACTGACCAAAAGGAATATGTCACCATTTGTAGTTTGTGCTTTGAACTCTGTAATGTAATGATGAGTTTTCAAACCAATCTGAAGCAAACTAGAAAACAGGATGAAGACTAAGATTTTTATAAGCAAAGGAGCAAAACGATAAAAAATGACTAGACTTCTACAGAATGAGGGAGAACATGCAAATCCAGGCAAAATGTATTAGGCAAAGTACTTTAAGTTTTATGATAAAGGTCTGCACTTGATAATTTGTAGTTTGGAGTCACCCCAAATCTCTTTAAATGCTAACTAACTTTTTCATAGTTCTTCATAGGTTAACTCTACCTTCTCGGTATGGACTATAAACAAAATAAAACAAACAGAATAGCTACCTTTTTCAGAACCCCTCTTAATATATAAGACAATGATTTAGATTCTGATAGATATGCTTTGAGATATTTTGATTTGAAGTTAATATATAGAGGAAAAGCAGGGTGAGGGCCTCAGTGTTTCTGGTACAGGTATGGGCAAAGGTCACATGAATCTTTGCTTAGGTGAGTTGGTTTCCTAACTGTGGTGGAGATAGTGTGGAGTGGGTTTGGCCCAGTGTCTTCACCAGAGTGGATGCTAGAAGTTGAGCCTGAAAAAACACTTTACTAACTTTTTCAAAGAGTCTCTATGGTACCTTATCCCCGTGGTAAACCCTTTCTTAAACCAATCCAAGTGGATTCTGTTGTCTGCAATTCAGAGCTGTCTAATATAAGATCCATTTGTATGTGATTCCTTCTTGGAAAAAACTTGTGAATCATTGACTGCTTTTCTCAGGAGACTGTCAAGTAAAAATCATGGATATTCAGAACTTTTAGTGAGGAGTTACTTTCATTAAGTACCAGTTCATTCAATGAAAATTGCCATTAATATTTACTCAGATTTTCCCTTTTCAATGGAGGTTAAAAACCAAAAGTGAATCAATATTTTTCTATAAATAATTAATAATTTTCATAGGCTCTTCTTAGAGTTTAATAGAAAATTTACCTATATAGCCATTTGCATATTATGTAGATAGTTTAATTTCTGAGTGTGAAGGTGTTAAGCCATTTTCTATTCTTAAAAATACTCTGATTTCTATATTAGTTGTGTTGGAATAGTTTTGTCTATAGGCTTAACAAGGAAAATAAATATTAAGGAGGAAGAGGAATCCATTCATAAGTGCTTCAAATGCTCCGGAAGCATAAAATTAAATGTTTAAACATGAGAACTGTATTTAGTATTGGCATTCCATCACTAAATAGGCTCTTGAAGAATCATTCTGGGGTTGTAGAATAATACAAAAGTAGAGTACAGGTCCATGTAAATATTTTATGGTTTTATTATATGGGCAATATTCTTAAATTTTAATGCTGCAGGAGAAATGGGCAGCCCTGTAATCTTTGTGTCAATGAAATGTAGAAGAGGCTGATGATCCAATTAGTGTAATGGACATCTGGCACCCGAATGATGCACTTCCAAATCTGGCTGAGAAGAACTGGCCCTCACCCACATTTTTGCAATATAAAAAAGAGAAAGCAGGATGCAGAATCCTCCTCCCTCATTTTCTGTGATGATTTTAATCCAACAGAGCCCTGAAAATCAGACTTGCATCCACTGGAGGGCTTTTCGTACATGAACTCTTCCCTCTAACTTTGCCTTCCCACGTGCCCTCTCCCTTCCTTTTCCATCACATACTTATTATTGGCCTCATTCTCATGATTCCACAGTGGTCCACTGGACTATTACCCTATTCTTTGTTCTTAGAAACAAATCATTATCTTAAGGACATTTCATGGTGTAACAGTTATCTCTGAAATTTTAAATCATTTTTCAAGACTGTGGAGTTGAGATAAGGGCTTTAAAAAATTTTTGAGTCTTTGTTAATATAAAAAAATGGAAAGTCAGAAGTCTTCACATTTTAATCTTATAATTTTCTTCCTAACAGCAGTGAAAATAACAACTTCTTGCATCTTCTTTTTTTGGAACTAGAATCATAGTTCTTTAAGTAACCATATAAGTTGATCTTAGAATTCTATTCACTTGCATTATCATGTCCTGTATATTGAGGTACAGTTGAGTCTGCTATGGTCTTCTTGTGCTACTACATGCCTTGCCATGTATGCCAAAACTCTCAGAAATTTGACTATTATTATCATTTTTTTTCATAAGGGCCACTTGTCAGGATTGTTCATATACCTAATAATTCTGAGATAATAGTGCATTGCAATTCTGGTACCAGAGCTGGGCTCCTTCCAGACAAATAATAGGCTTGAATACGGCTTGCTATAAATCAATGGATTCCCTAAGCTCCAGTCTCTTGTGACTCATCCTGCTGCATATTGAGGTTCCACTGGCCTAAGTATTGTCCTATGGGCCTTGGGGAAGTTGTGCAACCATGCTGACACTACTGTCACTGTGGCTGATGTAACTAATAAATATTTGGTATGTGGCTCAGGAGTCTAGTGCCTTCTAACAGCATCCATAGAACTGTGGAAGCCTAATTTCTTAACTTTTGTTATTTTTTGGGTGGGGTTTTCCTGCTTTGAACTCTCCTTCACACTGTAATACTTATAGAAATAGGGCTGAATCCCAATACTGTATTTATAAAATATCATCCTTTTGAAGAATCTAAATCACTGGTAGATGTTCTTTATTTTCCCCCCAAAACATTGTGAATCCTAATAGGTGCATGTTTATTCCTATTTTGTAAATGAAGAATTAGAAGTGGAGGGTAAGTGATTTTCTCAAGGTCATTTAAGTAACTGATAGAAGATCAAATGCTCAATTCAGACCTTTTCACTGATCACATCAGAATGGAGGCATCTTTACCACATAGTACTGCCATCTTTCTCACTAGGGTTTTCTGCAATGATGATACCAACTTCATTTGGGACTTAGGAATTATAATTTATGTTCTAGGAAGAAAGGATTCTGGGTAGTATAATTACTAATTGATAATGTGAAATTATGCAGATTTACCAATATTTCAATAGAACATGTTCTGTTCTAGTCTTCACAAAAGGTAATACTCACATGAGAAAACTAAAATAAAATCAATGGTGTTCATTCTCAGCCTTACAGTGTTTCTCAAGTATAGTTTCCTCAAGATATTATGGAGAGCCTTGTAGGGATAGATCTCTGGGTTCCATCCAGATCTATCTAGTCAGAATTTCCAGGGTGCAAGAGAACCGTGTTTTTAAAAAAGTTTATCCAGGTAAACGTTTGTGTCTGTTAAAGCTTATCATGAATTATTGCCAGAGATGAACTGCTTCTATAAACCAAGAGTAAGTAAACTATTATCCTCTGGCTAAATATCTACATTGAGAAAAGTGGTGAATTTTACAAAACTGTTCCTGAATATATTACTTTAAAAAATTCTTGATAAAAAGTGCACAAATCATCACCAGATCTATCTCCCAGAAAGTCAAAACCTTTGCCTTATATCATGAATTTAGCAGTAGTGGTTTTAAAAAAGGCCTATATTTGTGAAAGAGTGGGTTCACCTAAGTAATTCATTTGTGTGGAGACCTTCCACTCTGTGGTTGTGCAATACCTCCTTTTGCTTATTCATAAATTCACTCAATCTATATACATCGAGTACCTACTTTCTGGGACCAGCGCCATTCCAGGCACTGCTGCCACAGCCCTGGGTATCAACTGCCCTCAGGGTCTATACAGAAGAGGATGGTAACTGCTCCTTAACAAAAGTAAACCTCTGTTAGGCAAAAAATGACAGGGTTTTTGCTTTTTGTTCTGTTTGTGACTTCCAGCTAGCCATTTTGCAGGAGAAATGTCTTTGATGTTCCTTCCCTCCAGGTTTGGAGCTGAAAGCCTGGTTCTAAGGCAAGGACATGCACCTCTTGAATGCTACTTGATTCTTGCTGGCCGTTTAAGGGTTGTATCAAGTAACACAAGCACCAACAAAAACTCTGACATTTTAAGTGAGTTTGAAGAAGGCGACTTCATTGGGGTAAATACTGTCTCACTTTCTCAGTCTCTCATTATAATTTTTTTATTTAAAAATTTTTTAAAATTGTGATGGGGGTATCACCCAGTGGTAGAATTTGTTCTCGGAATACATGAGGCCCTGGGTTCAATGTCCAGTACCAGGAAAAAAAATTATGTAATCCATATTTCATTGTGTTAAAATAAGAAGGTGCTACAGTATTGTCCTCGAGTATTAGATATTTTGGTAACTGAAATACTTCAAAAACAATACATTTTTCCTTAGTAGTGTAGAGCCACCATATGTCCTAATATAGTTTCTCAAAATTTATCAATAAAATTAATAAACAATTATTGTTTTAATTGACCAATTTAATGAATGAATTGCAAACCATGTGGCTGTAGAGGTAGGGTGATATTCACAAATTAACTGCTACTTATTCAAAGAACTCTTTTTTTAATAATTTTTTTTTGTAATTGTAGATGGACAGAATGCCTTTATTTTATTTATTTTTATGTGGTGCTAAAGATCGAACCCAGTGCCCACACATGCTAGAAAAGTGCTCTGCCACTGAGCTACAGCCCCAACTCTCAAAGAGTTCTTTTTGGTTCTTTGAAGAAATTCTATGCTTGCAAAAGATTTTATGTAAAAGGGATAAGATTTAGGTTAAGAAAGCAGCTTGTGTGTAGAAATCAAACTTACTTCATTTCTACATTTAGTCAAGGCCAGATTGGATTTGGAGATCCCTGAAGTCCCTAAGTATAGAGATCTTGCGAAGTGGGAATATTTGCTGGGTTGATTTCAGAAATGTCAACTGAGGTGAGATATAGTATCAGAAACAGTGATAAAGAGTCTGGACTTGATTCTCCAGGCAGTGAAACTGGTTGGGGTTTTTTTTTTTTTTAGTAGGGAGGAGATGGATTGGATTTTCATTAAGATGAATGACTAGTGGTGATGTGGGGACTGTATTAACAGGGAGAAGACAAAATGGAATTGGAGTTGGGAGACTGATCAGGAGCCCCCAGACCAAGGCACTGGATGTGGGGATACCGAGAAGGATGCGGGCTGCAGAAGCCTCCTCCTGCATTTTTTGTAATGATTTTAATCCTAGTGAGTCCACTGTGCTGCCCTGACTCTGTGCAGATCAAACCAAGCCATTGTTTTTCAACTAAAGGAAAGAATCTTGGATATTATGTGATGTTTCTCAAATTTAATTTTTTAAAATATTGTGGTCTCTCTCCTCCTCCTTCTTCCCTTTGGTACTGGGAATTGAACCCAGGGGAACTTTGCTACTGAGCTACATCCCCAGCCCTTTTTATTTTGAGACAGGTTCTCACTAAATTGCTTAGGGCCTCGCTAAATTGCTGAGGCTGTCCTCGAAACCCCAACGCAAATTTAATATTAAAGTCATGCTGTGATATGCACACTTTTGTTCTTTATTGCCACAACCTTTTCAATTTTATAATCATAAAGAAGTGTTACAGTTTTGTAAATGTTCACACTAATGTCTCCCTGTCCCCTGCCCATTAGTGTCATGGATCTATATCAGTTTATCTACCTCAAGCTTGCTATCTTCAGAACCAAGCACCCCTTTTCCTCAGTAATAAAGTGTTAAATGGAGGTAGGACACAGTATTACGTATGTTTGTAGATCATGATTCTGTTTTGACACATGAAGTGTTTCAGAGTAGAGAAGTCTCCACCTGGGGTTCTGTTTTCATAGAAAACTTTGCACGAACGAATGCTGCTGGGACTGTGGGTTATATGAAAGCATGGACCACACTAGTCCTTATTCATTTAATCTGTAAGCTCAAGATTTTCTTTTAAGTTCTAGTGTTCTATAGCACAGTAGGGTGACTGTAGTCAACAATCACTAGAAGACAGGATTTTGAATGTTCCCACCACAAAGAAATGATAAATATTTGAGGTTATCCATATGCCACAGACCAGACTTCATCATCAAACATTGTCTATATGTATCACAATATCATTAGGCTGGGGTTATAGCTCAGTGGTGGAGAGCTTGCCTCACATGTGAGGCACTGGGTTCAATCCCCAGCACCACATAAAAATAAATAAACAAAATAAAGATATTGTGTCCATCTATAATAAAAAATATTTTAAAAAAGATATCATGCTGTACCTCCAAAATATGTACCATTATTCTGTATCAATTTAAACATTAAAATTATTTATTTAAAATGATACACCATTGTAATTTTATAGTTTCCCAGACTTCCAGTGTAAGATTAATGTCAGAGCTGAAATAACTTTAAAGAGGTGCATTTGTTTTTGTTTTTCAGGAAATCTGCCTCTTAACAAATGCCAATCGACCTACTTCAGTTGTATGTGAAACAAATGTAGAACTTCTGGTGGTAAGTAAAGAAGTGAGTATCTGATGATGCACATTAAACAGCTGATGTTTTAAGGAATCCCAGATATCTTTCAAAGCTAAAAATATTCACATTGAGAATGAATACTAATGAAAATTATGCCTATGGAATAAATAATGTTAGGTCTTATCACACACCATAAGGCATTTCGAAGGATTAAATTAAATCTGTTAGATCTGTACCTGGAAGAACAAAATGGTAAGTGGTAGTAACTGTTGCTGTTCTTGATTATCATGAGAACAAATAAGTTCTTGCTGTTGATGGCAAATATGTCCTTCTAATAAAATTGTCACGTGAGTATAAATGCTGTATTGTTTAGGAACAAGACAGTTTGCTGGCTTGTTACTTTGTTTGTAATTTAGTCTTTTCTAGTTGTCAACGGACCTTTATTTTAACTATTTATATGTGACTCAAACCCAGTGCCTCACACATGCTAGGCAAGCACTCTACCACTGAGCCATAACCCCAGCCCCTGCTGAGACTCTTAATAATTGAGCAAGAGCTGTGTGTGCATCTGGTGTTTGGCCATCACAGTGTGTTGTGTTACTGTATCGAGTGGAAAGCAAAGTTCTAAATTTTCATCGTTTTGGGGGAGTGATTAGAAGTGTTTAACAGTTTTTATAATAGGCTCAGGGGTGCACTATCATCCCCTTTTTATTTAGAAATATTTATTAGGTAAATCTCAGAAGACACACAACCTTAGTTTGAGGTTAATGGTGATCTAACAACAGGTACTGTAAGCTGTCTTTTATTTTATTTTATTTTTTTGGTTTTATTATTATTACTCAAGACAAATGGTTTTCTGAAGCTATTTAGGCCATGCATTCCCACCCTGCCTTATAAATCTTGATGTGCCAGGGAGTGGAGAAATGGCTTAATTGATCCCTTGGGAATGTTGAAGTGAACTAATTGATTAGGGAAGATGCTGTTCAGCTATGTAGATGTTAGGAAATTATTTGTTCTTTCATTAGAGAAACTGGTAGCATCAAAATCTTGCCTAGAGATATTTATTATTAGTCCTATGGTCCTAAGAACCATCTACTGTCTCTCAGAGGCACTGTTGGTGAGCCATTCTGGAAGCAAAGGAATGTGTTTAAGTCTGCATTTGATTAGAATTTTTTAAATGGATACCTTTGTCAATACTTATCAGATGAAGTTCATGAGATTTTTCTGTGCATTAATCATTCTGTGATATGCTCCTTGAATTTGGAGTAGAATATGCAGTAATCTAATTTGAAAATGTCATGAGAAATTTCTTGAACACTTTAGCATTGATGAATATCAACTTAATAGATAACATGCTGTGCTCTTCTTTACTGAGCCGGTGCTACAGGAACCTGATGGGCTGCAGCTATTATGGTCACAGTAAGTGCCACAGAGTCAACATTTCTATGAAAAAAAAAAAAAGCATCAGGAGTACAATGATATATAGGATGTGGTTTTCATTTTAAATCATATTTGATTTATTATTTATGGACTAAGAAAGAAAGGTGAGTTCCATTAACCCAGTGACCTTTATTTATTTATTTCCCAAGCAGGATAATTGCATTCTAATGGAAATACAGGAACACTAGGTATTGTAAATACAACACCATGAAGAGGAAGGGTTGCTTATTTTGGCTTCTGAACGTGTCCAGCAGGTTTCAATATACATTTATACAAAACTCAAATTCCTTAACAAACAAAATAGAAAAATGCTACCCATGCGTTACCATCAGGAAAACATAAGAACATTCCTGGCATCAATCTGTAAGCCTGTCATGTTCTTTTTAAAGGGTTCATTTCATTCAGGACTCTGATTATAGAGTCACAAGCATCCCTGTGGTGTATCTCAGCCGTGATGTGCTCACGCCTGGGAGAACTGTGCATGTCTTGGTGAAGATCATGACCCTTGGGCTTCGGCTCAGGCGCCTCTTCACAAACCTCCTGAGTTCTCTGATCTGATCACATCATCTGGGTCTGAAGAGACGGATTTTGAGAACTTCCAGCCAGGAGGAAGAGACCAGATGTCTCAGTTCTGCTCATAGGTACTAGGTGTTCTGAGTCCCAGAGTGACTCCAGGGAGAGGTCAGGAGCGGTCTCAAGGATTAGTTCACACACCACATTCTCTGACTGGTGTGCTTCAATTTCATTCTGCTCCAGGGACAGAATGAGAACAGTATGGACGGTGTCCATTATTTTTTGCAAAGCTGAATTTATGCACATTTTTTTTAAAGGAGAATCTTTTAGATGTTAGGAACGTTATATGTTTTCCTGAGGCTAACACAGGGGCAGCATTTTTCTATTTTGTTCAGAGGAACTTTTTAGATGATGTCCTTTTTATTTTTATTTTTTGGTACATAAGGCCATATTTTTTAAAATAAAATGATACTGACCATCCCTGGTAGTTGTTTTAATGTTCTTTCTTGGTACACACAAACCAAAAAGTGGTTTCTAGCTCTAGATAAATTCCTCTACTTCTATGATTAAAAAAAAATTTCAACCTATCTGGGAAATCCCCCAATCTGGAAACGGTGTAGTTTGTCAGACTGTTTTGTCTTATGAGGACTCGGATCTCATGTCAGGAGATGCTTCCTCTGCATTGCTGGTTTGTTGTTGTCTGTGCTACGTTGACTATCAAAACCGTTTTGCTTGGTGCTGAAGAGCAAGGGCTGTAAACTCAGGTGACCAGAGTTCAAATTTCAGTGCTGCCTCCGTGAGCATGTGGCCACTTACTTAAGCCTTCAAGAGCTTCATTTTCTTTTCTGTGTAAAGAGAGACAATGGTAATAGTGGACTGAGGGGTTAACAGTGCCCATTAAATTAGTTAATACAGATAAAATGCTTAGAACAGTGCCTGGTATATGACATAGATTGGCATATATGAATTTTGAAACTGAATGACGTACCTTCTTTGCCTTGGCAACGGGACATTTATAACTAGATTTATGCATATCTAACTCCACATTGCCTGGGATGTGATTTGGTAAAATAACATGGCCAGCCCTTTCTCTTTCCCTATCTATATTTCTCCCCTCCCTCTGACCTCCTCACCTATTCATTTTCACCCTTGTATTATGTGCATTTTAAATAAATCCTGCAAATAGTTGGGATGGGGTAAGATATAAATAAATGAAATTATTGACTTTAAAAGTTCTGCCTCCGGCACTAACAAATCTTTTCGGACCACTTCAGGCCTGAGTGGCCTCGCCGTCCCCTGACTTCAGAGCTGTTCCAATTATCCAACTCACTCGGCTGCATGAAGGTGGTTAGAATATTCGAGGTGAAGATGAGGTGAAGTGGCAGTGGTCATGAGACCCTGTGGGAACCCAGGCCACTGGCTGCTGGGTGAGAGCCCATCAGGAGATCTTGGGAGTGAGAGCGGGGTGACAGTATCGCTCACTATGACTTATTGAGCACTCTAAAGTAAAAACATGGGTGTGCTAAGGATTTTGCTTGCTTTATCTCATTTAATTCTTACAATATCCCATGGACTACTTTCCCCACTCTTTCAATAATTAAGCGGGGGAAGCTAAGGGATATTAAGGAAGTTATCCAAGGTTCCCAGACGAATAAACCTTGGAACTAGGACTCACGCCAAGGACCTGACTAGGTGAGCCTGGAGAGATGGTTGTGAAACTTCCTGGTTCCCAGGATAATGAAAAAGGCTCTTGCATCATTTGTGCCAAGACTCACTGTCTAGTGGCTTATCCTGCAGTTTGGCCCCAGAACCCTTGCCAAACCTCACTTTGTGCCTGACTCAACGTCTGTGCTTACCGCCTGGCTCAAGCACAGGCGACAGTGTTTTCTTGCTAGATTTATGCTCAACATTTTTCCATAGTAAGGTTGGGCTGGGTACCGAGAAGAAGGCAGGTGGAGCTCCCACGCCACCTGGCACTGGGCAGCCACGCTCTCTCCAAAGCAGTAGAGAGGTTTGTCCCAGGACATGAGCACATCTCACTTCAGTTTTCATGCTGGTAGGTGCTGTGCTCAGCCCCGCAGTGGAGTGGTCTCTGCTGAGTCTTCCCTTGGTTGTGTGTGTGGGGGGGAAGGGGATGAGTACTGTGGCAGAGAGTGGGTAGCCACAGGGAACTGGAGGACTCATTTTGCATTTGGAACATCTGCATCACAGGTTGTACCCAAAATTGTTGGATGGCTGTCACCAGTACTGCTATGGTCGCCCAAGAAAATTACAGGGGACATTACAAGGTCACCTTTTTCTCTTTCTATGTTTGTTCTGCTCCTTGTTTGCTCAGAAACTTGATCCATCAATACCATTTTAGGTTTGATTAGATCTTAAGCCCTAAAAAAGAGTTCTGAGCCACTGAGAAATAAAAGGCCCTGGGAGATTAGAGATTACACTCTTTAGCAGCATGTGGCTGATTATCCATTCGAGGTCCAGATTGTACAAACACTTGTCTCCTAGAAGTTCTTAGGAAATTGATCTTCGGAGGTGTATTACCCATTTGTTCTCAGCACACTTACAGTTTCCACTCTTGCCTTATTTCAGCAGGAATGACTCATTTTATACAGTTGATTTACTCCAGAAGTCCAAAAGCAGTACAGCATTATGACTAACGACCAGAGAGAAATAAATTCTAATCCTGACACTGCTACTTACTTGCTGTGTGACTTTGAATAAAATGACAGCCTCTCTGAGCCTCAGTTGGCTCACCTGCAAATGGGGAAGATAATGTCTTTTAAACACAGTGGCAACAGAATTAATTCAAGAATGCAACTCAAGGTGGTTATTGAAACTTTACCATGTGCCAGGCACCGTTCCAGGCCTTTTGGAGATGGTAATAAACTTGAACTTCAAAGGGCAGAGGCAAGCTAACAAGCAATTATAATAAAATAATATGCAGACTAAGATAGTGAGAAATTTAAAGGGCTTTAGGTGCTCGAGGGTAAAAGTAAGTAACAGTTTAGGTCCGTGGATCTCTGCCTTGACTGTTGTCCAATAAAACCAATGTCTTGGTCTCATCACAGCTAAATCAGAATTTTAAAGCCCCCAGG